GAAATGAATCCATTCGAGTGCTCTAATGAATAAATTTTGATGAACCAACAAGCAATGTAGCATATTTAGCCCATGTTTGAACCCTATCTCTTAAAATTCATTTTTAACTACATATTTTATTAAATTCAAAATTTTTATCAATTTTTCAATAATTCAATTTCATCAATCTTTATCAAAATCTAATTTCTATGCAAACTAAATAGAGATTTAGTCACGTTGATCTAGTCTATTTTGCACCCTCTAACTGTGGTTTATACCAAAAACGAAACATAATTAAAAGGTATAAACTACATATTCAAAAGGATGAAGTTCTAAATCCAAATATTACTACTGCATAATGTTCTAAAAAGTGCATTTTAGGTGTTGTCTAAAAAATGACGAATTTCACTACCGAACGTTAGAGATTAACCATTGACGCTCAAATAATTATCCATGTGGAATCTCCCCAAGGGTCTCCAATGTTTTGTTTTATAACAAAATATCTACGTGTTCAATTAAGTGTCACAACACTTTAACTGTCAAATCAGCTACTTACTTCACAAGTAAGAAAATGCCGCACGTGATAGTTTATCCGTAATAATGATATACGTATCTCGTTATTACGTACAACCACAGACAATTTAAGATTAAATTATATATTAAAAGTATTTATATCCAAAGGTGATTGGACGTAGGTCATCAGGGGCGGATCCAGCACCCGGCGAGCCGGGGCGGCTGCCCGTGCTGGATCCGCCGGGAAAAAAAATTAATTAAGATTTATAAACAATATTTATAAATATATATGTTATTGTAGATCTTATATTGAAATCGTGTTTAGATCATTTAGCAAAGCATGCGCCTTTTCACATGTGATTCTTGGGTTCGATTCCCATCAACAAAAATGTCTCTTTTAATTTTTAAACACATTAAATAATAACTCAATATTAATTAATAATTGTACTTGCATTCAATAGAAGGAGTGAAGCTCATGTGGTAAAAGGGTCATTTTGTGCAATAGGAAGTATGGGTTCGATTCATTTCAATGACATTCTCTTTTTTAATTTTTAAACACAATAAATAATAACTAAATATTAATTAATAATTGTA